AAAATACTTCAGGTCTGTTCAAACCAATAAAACTATCAAAGGAACTTATAATACATTTCCTGATCATGTTGCAGGTGGAACAATTGACATCACTGAACGTCATTTTCCTATGGGTTTTAGTCAGGCAAAGTCATTTTCTTTTGGATTAACTCAAAAATAAAAAAACAACATTTAGTCTTCATCATTGTTATGGATTATTTTTGTGAGCGTATCGTTGTGGTTGTTGTTGGCTAGAATGAAAGGTTACATTTTCATCATGATTTCCATTGATATACAACTCCCTCTACACTCCCTTTACTACATTAACAAGCTAATAAGTGTTAAACGGGATGAATCACAAATAAAATTAAAAATTAAATAAAACATAAACTTTATTTGTTTTAACGCATAAGTATCATTATGATAGTATCTTACCAAAAAAGAATGGTGACAATTGGAGAGACAGTTAGCTCTTTGAAACGACCAACACTGGAGCAGTGGAGGCCTTGCTAGTCGAAACCAGTTGTCTTATTGGAGCATCCCAATTAACACTATGGAATGGGAATGTTTTACTGAAAGATACTTCTGGGGCCACCCAAGAGTGGGGGATGAAGAGTGGATTTTAGAACATGCAGTTCTGGGAAAGGGCTAAAGAACAAGAGAAAAAGAGAGAGCAGAAGATCCATTGCTCAAAGATGGGCTGTTCAAAAATAAAATTTAGCTACATGCACACCATGTGGTTGAAGTGACAGTACCAAAGGTGTGAGTGAGGCATGCCAGGGAGGAAACAGAGAGCACAGTGACCCAAAGCTGTTGAGATGATCAAGCTGGCTCAATTTGATAGGGATATAGACACTGTACTGGAAAATACACTGTCCAGTGGAATGGAGAAGAAGCAAGAAGCAATGACAGCCATCATACACAACATGAGCTGTGAACGATATGGAATACAGAGCAAGATGGCATTACCTGCAATAAGAAAGTCTAGCAGAAATGAGTGGTATAAAGGGAAGACAGCTCCTAAAGCAATATCGCAGAGCAGAGGAAGAAGAGAAGCAAAGTCTAGTGAATCTAAGGGACCCACTCAAGAAACAACTTTGCAGTGTTAGACGTGCAGAGATCTACAGAAAGAACAGGAGGAAACCCAGGAAAACAGTAGAGTTTCTAAGTTTCTGATCATAGTGTTTCTCTTGCTTCAGACATTTTCCTGTGACTTCTCTCCACTCTGCAACATCAGTAATTAATCCCTACACTCTATCTATCATTCATTCATCATTAAGGGGACTATTTAAACCAGCTTGTCTGCACAGTCCTCAAGCTTGCTTCAGCCTCAGTGCTCTCCGCTCTGCTTGTGTTGCTATTACTGGTTTTAATTCTCGCCTGCTCCGGATTTTGGCTTGTGCTTTTTTTCCCCTAGCTTCAACCAGACGTTGACCTTGTTTTTCTTCCTTTGTGACCCTAGCCTGGTTTCTTACATTTTTAAGCTTTATGTTTGTGTTTGTTTACCTTGAACTGCTACTTTTCTACCTCCTACTTTCAACGGCATACTGATCCTGCCATAGTAACATTCTCAATCATCATAACAGGACTGAATCAAAAACTGATTGGGCAGAATTGTACGGTTCTTGCCTATCCAGGTAGCATTCCAAAGGTAAACTGCAAGAACACCTTCATCAACTGACCACCACCTTCAATCTGCTGTTTTCTTATGTATTGGAAGTGCAGCAGACTTTGGAAAATTCAAATACAGATTTTTGTTCTCCTGCACCAACTATGTCTTCTCATATTGCTGCACATAAAGATACCCTGAAAGGTGCTCAGTTTAAAGAACTTTGATTCCACCTCCAGAGAGATATTCTGGTGAACCAACAGTGCTACATTATTTATGAGCTACAGCCTGTTTCTTTCTCTTAGACTGCTAAAGCAGCCTAAATGATCTTACTTATACTTATAATTTTCATTTAAAATATATAGTGATTTAAAAACAAAAACAGAGGAGCATCTTTAAAGAGATGACCATTCGCATACATAGAACCTCTGATTTTAAATGTTTATTCTATGAAAATGAAACAAAAAGAGATATACAGATGCAGCCATTCAAAATGCGCGGTAAAAACCCGCGGTACAGTAACCTACCCACAAGTCACCGCGGGGCAC